CCTTTCCTCGCATGAAGTATCTTGCAACGCAGTCGACTCATTTGAGAGCAACTTGCAATTTTGCTACAGATGGTCTTCTATACACAGACTACGCACGCGCCAAACTTAAAAATCACTTCATCTTTTCAATATTTGATAAGCAATGCAGATTTTATGAACATATTAACATCCGGGGAATCCAGTGCTCTGGGTGTACTGCGTTAACTGCTCAAAGAGATGGATCACATTGGTACATCAACAGTTACTCAGGCATAAGATATGGATGCCAGTTTAATGGCAGACCAGGCAATGGTAGAAGTGAATATAATTTCGGAAGGTATTTCACAGGCAATGTAAACCCAGATCACCGATGCTCGTCATCTCCCTCATCAACAACCGAACACTGGTTTGGTAGCAAAAAAAGTTTGGATTGAATGACAGTGTAGAGAACTACTAAAGACAACTTTTGTTGTAACTTGATGCTTAATTGCGTTACAAAATCATGTTATGATATACCGTAAAAACTTTATTAGCCTTCTGGGGCTTATTTAATTTCAGACCTCAAGAAGGGGGGCCTTAACAGAGAGGGGGAGCTTATTTAAAATCACCGCCTTACAAATCAATTTCATTTATACCCTAACTTAACGATAGTTCTGGAAATTAAAGACCACGTTTCAATACAAAGTGACTGAAACGCCAGAAAATTGTGCTGAAAAGTCATTTACATCAGCCTGACGGAACGGGGAGGGGGTTTAATAGAGGGGGTGTTATTACAAAATCTGACTTCCCAAGGGGGGGCTTATTAGAGAGGGGGTTCAATAGAGCTTTTACGGTATATGAACAATAATTTAGAAGCCAGGAAAGTCTCACAACAAATGAAAATTAACCCACATATTTAACTGTATGATGACTTTCGACACACGTCCCATAAGTAAGAAAAAACGTGTTGTCCCGAGCAGGAATCGAACACACGGTTCCCTGGTTACATGTCAGGCGTGATGACCACTACACTATCGAGGCAATCGCGCTGTCAACGTAGCCACTTAACGTAGTGAGTAGTATCATACGCAGGTCTTCCCCGGAACGTTTTTCTTTCGAGACTAATATATGTGTGTTTCATGGCCTCTATGATACATAGAGGTTATTCAACGGAAAGTTGTGTAATATGGCTGGGTATTTTTACGAGTCAGTTTTTATTTTTTCGAGGCTTTAGGCAGGGAAAATAAACATTGACGAGTAAAAATGCCCAGCCGGACTATACAACTTTCCGCTGAATAAATTGTTTATTATAGGCGACATGATTCTTTACTAAAATATAGGCTTTCAACAGTGTGTTCCGTAGCGCGCGGTCAGGAGGACTAAGACCCCTTCAATACGGTCTTATATTTGCATATTCGCACTCTAAAATGCTATGTCGTATAATAAGGTCATTTAATAAGTCACAGTAATCAGATTTTCTCATTTCGTTAAAATAGTGTTACTCAGTAAACCCAAATCCGATTACTTAACAATTATTCCATGAGCCCGCGTTGGATATGAGAGGACGAATGGAATAATTGTTTTATTAAAAACTTCACTAAACTAAACTTCGGTATTACTTTTTTAAAACTTTATCAATCGACTGAGTGATTTTTCAGTTCAATCTAAATGAAGCATGATTTGTATGAAAACGGCGGCAAAAAGGCTGGAGCGGTCTGCCAGTTCAGTTAGCACAGTGAATGAATAGAGAGCAAAACAGAATTTTAATCTTCGCTCTGTGTCTTCTAAAGTTTCGTATATTCTGTAAAAATTGTGAAAATGGTTTAGCTTAAAATGGGAAGATCAGAAATAATTGTGAAGCTGAACATTATATTCATTTTACAAGTTGAATGAACAGCTGAACGGGTTGTTTACGGCGAGCAAATCGTGCACGACTACAGAATCAATTGTGTTGAAACCAGCGAAACTGAGCCAGTTAAAATCAAGTTCACTGAAGTAAAATGCAAAGGAAAGCGTCAATATCTACATGGATGGAGAGAAAAAGAGTGATCTTCGAAGATAATTTCACTGTGAAGTGATCTTTGATTGTACCTGACAATCACGAACGCTTGTCGAACTGTCGTATGCTTCTTCTTTGATATTTAAGATTGTGCTGATTTTAACCCTATCCAGCTGCCTGGGGGGGGGGGGGGGCAGAAAGTGCCCGCGCTGACTTCAAATTTATCGTACTTCAAGAGCATTCAAGCAATCATAGCCAAACTTTATGACTTTTCCTAAACATTATCTGGGAACATTTTGGTGTGTCAATATTTTGATCACGTGACTTGATGTTTCCATGGCAACCAAGTTTTGACAGGCCATTTTAGCCAAATTTGGTATTTTCAGCTTAATTTTCAGTTTTCATGAGATTTCCGCTTTCTACGAATAGTTTCCTCCAAAATCTTTGCAATTATTGCATCCTTATATTGTTTTCGATGTTTTCAAATCAAATTTGGTGATTTTCTGACATTTCTGAACAATTTAAAAATCCAAGATGGCGGATCCAAGATGACGGACATTTTTAAAGTATGACGTTATTTTGGCGTGATATGTTATCACAATTGATTCGCGATTGTCACTAAAATAAACGTGTTTGAATGCTTTATACACCACATAAGTTTCATTTTTATAGCACAAATAACTTTCGAGATACAGATCGTTTTACCCAAATTTGTTGTTTTTTTAGCTTAATTTTCAGTTTCATAAAATGTTTGCTTTTTACGATGAAATCTTTGCAAAATCTTTGCCGTTTTAGCATCTTTATATTTTTCTTGATTTTTTCAAAACAAATTTGGAGATTTTCTGACATTTCTGAACAATTTAGAAATCCAAGATTTAGGATCCAAGATGGCGGATTTTTTAACGTATGACGTCATTATGGCGTGTATGACGTCATAATTGACACGTGACTGCCACTAAATAAAGATTTTCGGATGCTTTTACACACCATGTAAGTTTCATTTTCATAGCGTCAATACTTTTCGAGATACATAGTGGGGGGGGGGGGGCACTATCTGCCCCCCCCCCCCCACCCCCCAGGCTGAGGAACGAAAAAAAAGCCCAGGCAGAATAGGGTTAAAAGCTTAGTCCAGCTGGAATTGACAAGCCTCTTCGAAACACAAGGTAACAATACTGAATAGGCTAAGCTTAAACTTGTGTTTTAAACGTCATGTTTTCATTCATTTTGAACGAATTTGTGCAGCCGAAAATTGTTTCAGGCTTCCTTTAGTGCTCGTTCAGTTGCATTTGCTGTACATTTAATTACAGGCATTTCCCATTAAATTTTTCGTTCAAAGCTTTGCTGCATTTTCTATCAGTTCTGTTACTTCGTCTTCAGTCAATTCTGCCGCGAAAACATTTTCGCCGGCGGCCATTGTTCCTTGGATAAAGAAAAAAATTCAGCTCTCTTTCTCGCTGATGCGTTCATATTTGTCGGAGCAGGTATATCAGCTGTTATAATCCATCAAAATTTTTTCTCTCGCGCGATTGGTCTAAACACGTCACGTGACGCAGCCAAAACTGGGGAATATCCGGGTGATATTCCCCAAGTGATATTCCCCAGTTTTTAAAATTTGTGTTTCACGTTCACAGGTTCAGTTTTCGTCTCAAATAAATCATGCTAAATTAAATAAAACTGATTGTTTTGAACAGACTAGAAATATTTTTGAACGCCAACAGAATTATTTTGATGTTTAACAGCTTGGCCGACCGAGATCTTCCACGGCAAACAGAGCGGCGTTGTGAGAAAAATATTTGAAGAATAATAACTACAATAGCCTCCATTTGGCTGTTCCTCGAAGCTCACAGTTTTCCTCGAGCTTCGCTCTCGGAAAACTGTTCGCTTCTCGGAACAGATAATGTCCGCGGACAAATATCCGAGCATATTTCCTCGCCAAATGGAGGCTATTGTTTATATAGACTGTCTCCGTTTAACCAATCAAAAAGCTAGAAATCCAATATCCGTGATCCAGTTTTTAATAAATTCGCTTATTAGGTTTCGTAGGCTTTTTAATATATAACTTGACAATAGTTGTAAGTAAGCCAGATTCCTTTATTTGTTGTTGTTGTTGTTGTTGTTGTTGTTGTTTTTGTTTTATCATGTCGTTAGTATATGTAAAGTTGTTTTGCAAAAGACCTGTAAATGAAAATAGTACACTGATCCCTTTATTTTTGGCTTGGGCCAAACGTCGAACTTTTCATGATTAAATTGCAGTTAAGGTCGAATTATTTAATTTCATCTGTGGAGTCAAACGTCGAATTTAATTCAGTCGTCGTCGTCGTTCTTTTTGTCTGCTTCAGACGGAAACAACGTGTACGTCGATCCAAATAAAATCAGTCGTAGTTAATTAAGACAAACGTCGAACTTCTTATGAACTTAACTTTCCCTGAATTTAGTTCGACTCATGAAACGTTCAACGTTTGGCCTGGGCCTAAGTTGATCAGTGTGTTTAGTCAAACCTCGTTCCCAGGGTCTCTCATCTTCCCCCTCCAGGGGCGGGAAGATGAGAGACCCTGGGAACGAGGTTGTGTGTTTAGTATCGCTGTTCTAATTATAAGTTTCTGGATGACGTAAACTAAAAAAAAATACCTCAATAATCGTAGCTGATTGGAAGTTTACAAGTTGGATATTTACATTAGTGTGTTTACAGATTTGAGCACTGTACTGCAGTGTTATAAATCCATCTCGTGGCCAGAAAGGAGTATTCCATACATGTACTGCAAAGTCCCATCTGTACTATGACATGTGAACCCACTGTTAAACAGGAAAAAGGTCGGACGCACGTGCAAACTCCACTGGCTTACAACAAAGGAGCGCTGTTAAACAGGTTAAGCCAGTCAATTTGTTAACTTTGAAAATATGTAAATACAATTTGGTAACAAGTGGAATTTTAAAGTAAAGATATTTAGATCTCAGTAAGCAGCTGCATTCAATGAAATAAATAAATGATCATCGCAGTTGTGAATGCAATTTAAGCAATTGCAATTAAGCCAGAAAGAAATTCTGGCTTCAACGGGATTTTAACCCATGACCTCCGCGTTACTAGTGCGATGCTCTACACAACTGAGCTCTAGTAACGCGGAGGTCAGGGGTTCAAATCCCGTTGAAGCCAGAATTTTTTTCTGGCTTAAAACTGCAATTACTTAAATTGCATTCACAACTGCGATGATCATTTAATTCATTTCATTTCATTTCCGCAGTTCATATAAATTATATATATATATATATATATATATATATGATTTCATTCATATATTCATAATCACATTAACTGCATTCAGTTTGTCACAACCTGGGACCAAGACAAAAGAACTCCGAGAAAGAACTCATGGAGGTCCACTCCTCCTGTACACCTGTCGGATATTCTAACCACGGAGCTACAGGTGATTCATGCGGGATTCATGGTTCGTGTGTGGCATACTGTAAGCCCTATGTATTGTACAATACATGTATTTTCGGAAAACACAGAAGCACTAAGTGCTTTACACTTTTAGTATGCACTAACTTGAAGTTAAATACGCTGAGTTCAATTAGAAGCTTGTTTCGTATTGTAGTGTTAAAATATTATAGTAATATGTTATAGATTACATCACATAGTTCTGTACGCATTGTAGCGTAGTTTTAACTGCAATCGTAAATTGTCATGATATAAAAACATATTATGTGTCTGTTAACGAGCACTCATAATCTATATAGTACAAATTAAAATTACGTAATCACTGTCAAATATGTGGCTCGTTTAGACCTGCCTACAGTATAACTAGTATAGGCATGCCTAGCGTCACGTTTACATAATTACAAAGAACTTTAGAAACGCTCAAGGCCCGGGGAGGGGGGGTTACTCCCTTATGTGGCCTATACGGGGACGTGCCGCTGGACAGGGTATGGTTTTTGGCCTCCCAGCCCTGAACAGGGTATATAATTTCATGCGAGTCTGTTCTAAACAGGGTATTGTTCCGGGCTATTGTTGCACGGAGACGTTTCCCGGTCTTTAGCAGCTCATCACTCAATATCACAACATTTTCAAGACAAGATAAATGCTATTGTTGTCGGTATCCTACACTTGTTTTAGAACAAGAGAGTGTGTATTTTGTCGTTTGCCCTAAACAGGGTCCTAAAATGGAGGGTGTTGCCCTACACAGGGTGGGTATTTTAGGGGTTTTTTTTCAAACCCTCAGCGGCACCCATATACCCAAACATGGGCCAAGTACCCCCCCCCCCCCCCCGGGGGGGCTCAAGGACTGTTTGTTCCTTTTTGTTCGAAACCTTGTTTCCTATAATTGCATGATTATCTAATATCCGTTTTTTGGCTAGCCGCACAAAGCGTTCTTCTTTTTTATTTCCTTTACGTCAGAGGCATGTATTTAGATTCTTTTTTACAAGCACGTTTTCAGTTGTTAGGAGTTGTTCTTACCTGGAAACGCGACACCTAGAGTCATTAACATTAAAAAGTAATGATCGTAAGTCATCAAATAATCAGTTCAGTATCAAATAACACTACACTCTTTTTTTTTGGAAGAATGTATCTTTTTCATGCCCAGGCTGAATATTCTTATTTTTCTGCGGATTTTAGGCTGAAAATATTCTTAATACATTCTTAGATTACAAAGTGATCCGTTGTATAATATTTCAGTAAAATAACAGAAATAATATGACCTGAGCTGTACACGTTTGTATCGTTTTGTTAACTCCTTTTGATTTAAGAAAAAGGAGAGAAGTATACATGGTACATATTTACCAGACCCTTACCATATTTTTTAATGCAACGGCATGTGATTAGTATTGTACACTGTATTTTATTTTCTATCAATTAATATGCAAAAAAATTCGTAACTAATTAATCTCAGGGCCGTAGGTATATTCTTAGCATATTCTTAAAAATTTCGCCAATCTCAGCCTCGATATTCTTAAAAAAAGATTCTTACAAAAAAAAGACCGTGTAGTACTACAAAATTTGGGCGAGGGTTCGATTCCGCCTGGGGTTCTTTATTCCTTCCCTGTTTGTTTTTGTTTGTTTGTTTGTTTTTAATTTGTTTTTTGTTGTTGTATTTTGGGGGGATTAATAGACCTTTCTCCAAAATGCCCGCCGCAAATACAAAATGATTAAAATTAAACTGAGCGGGAAAATCAATACCAGCACCTGAAAGACCACCTCTTGTTTGGTAATCGTACGACGTTTCGTTAGGTTAGGTTCTACATGTACCTGAGTCGAGAAAACGGAAGTTGAAAACTGGAAAATTTAGAGACGGTTGTATTGTTGTTTGCCAAGCATTTTTTTTTTAATTCGACAATTTCAATGTTCGCTGTACAAGATAAGTTGCAGAATAATCCAATTTTCCTGAAAACTCTTGGATAAAACTATCCAGAGCTCAGACATCAGTATGTTTTGATTTCGCAAGTAGCACGTAGTTCTCCGCGTCATATCTCAACTGATTCATGGTTGCCGAACTCTCTTCGCGCTGAAATTGAGAAGTTCACTTCGATGTTCGCAACTTGATTGGGTAATTGACAATATGTAATTGACAAGTTTTTAACGAAGCAAAAGAAAAAAAGTTATGTGAAAGTCTGTAATTAATGGCGTATTTGCTGTGTCGGACGGCAAATAGGAAGTCGAAGAAAATTATCCGAATTTTACGGCCTTCGTTGAAATAGTTTGATCGTGTCAAAACGCTCGACTTGAAATGTCCAACACGAGTACAGGATCAGTGTGCGACCACAGTCACCGGCCTTACTTGTGCAATGCCACCTTGGACTTATCGCAGGTAATAAACACATAAATTATAATCATTGCTATCCAGCACTATTAAACGTGCTATACAATGATATGCACTTGCTATTTTTTCTGTCTCGTGTGTGTTTTTCTATACAGTTAAAATATTTGATAGATCATACTGAGTCCTTACAACAAGGCACTCTTCAGTTCGATCCTAAAAGAAGTAAGCATATTTATAGATCAACTCGGTTGAAGAAATCAAACCGAACATTAGATAAGAGATAAACTGGAATGAACTTTAAAGCCCCATTTACACGACATTCGTTTTGGGTCCGGCACTCCTAAATTTTGGCACGCGGGCCGATAGTTTAGGGCACGGCCCGCTTCATTTACACGACAAAATATGTTCGATTTTTTTCAATGTTCATTTCTGAACGGCACCCCTAAAATAAGAACGACACTCTTAAATTTGTGAGTCCTCGAGATTATTTAACAGCGGCTCACATAATTTTTTGCGGATTCGTTCAAAATCAAAATGGCAGATACTCAATGTCGATTGCCTAAAGCAATTTTATGGCTTGATGCCTTGAAAAAAAGAAAAGGCCTGACAGGAATGAGGGACGAAACAAGGTCATCATTTGTACCGTGGCATTGAAGCAGCGATAGTACGGCTTTATGCAAGCTATATTGAGCTGTTTAATCATTATGCGCTTGAGAGAGGAATGCATACATCCCTATTCTTTTGCCTGGTTTGACAAGTTGAATCAAGTCGGATGAGCTGTGGTACGAGAGGCATTTGCTTCTGGGTGCAAATAACAAGAATTAAATAGCGTTCAAAAACTAAATCTTGATAAAACAGTGTAAAAAAACCTGTATTTCATAATACAGCCGAGCCAAAGAAGATCTAATAATTAAACCATATAAGCAGAAAACGGCATTGTAATACTAAAAACCGCATTTTACGGAACAGATACTGAAATACCGAGGGGTCAAAATTAAACATGCGCATGATGTGAATTTATCAACTGCATGTACTGATACATTACCTCCAAAATCCGAATGCTACTGCTATGAATGACTATTCTTCGAATAGTAATTTACACGAGGTCGAACAAAGCCGTAGTTGGTGTCCAAAATGGAAAACGGCATACAGACAAATCACGTAGGTTAAAATACTCGCTATACGAACAAGTTTTACTACCCGTTGTTGTTATAAGCCTTATAATAAAATCTAACTTCAAAACGAGTGGAAATCCGACTGATTACTCTGTCTTTCAGGCCATTCAAAAATTTTGCATTTACACGGCAAAAATTAAGCGGGCCGTGCCCAAAACTATCGGCCCGCGTGCCAAAATTTAGGAGTGCCGGACCCAAAATGAATGTCGTGTAAATGGGGCTTAAGTGGAATTTAAAATAATCGCGATTCTGTACTTTCTCAGTGGTCCCCACAGGACCACAAAATTGCTCAGACTGATAGTGTAATCATTTGCCGAGAACTTAAACGCAATTCGGGATGCATGCAAGGGCCCGGCGATGCTAGCTAAAAGGGAAATGAAAGAGTCTCGGATTGTAAAATAACAAAACGAAGTAATGAGTGAGGAAATGGGAAATTATTGGGGCAATGAAGCAATGAGAAGGGGTTCTCAATTTTAACTACTGAGGTAAATTAGGGGCCAACATGATGCGAAATACAGTGTTGGCTAGGAAATCTGATGTTCCGTCAATAATTTTGCGTTTACAGTTTCCAATTGCAAATTTTTCCACGGCCGAAAAATATTTGCTGATACGCTTAGTTTCTACCCGAGTAAATTGCGACGTCCCCATGCACGGAAGGTTCGTTTTGTTTGGCGACAGCGAAGGAAAATACGGTCCAGACCGGCAAATCATCCGTATTGGAAAAAGCTGGACCGGGTGACAGCGCGCGATTAGCCAATCAGATTCAAGGATTTAGGATTCCAGATCGCTAATACACTTCAGAAAAAAATAATTTGCAATATCATATGGCTACGGAATTTGGTACGGAATTTTTCGGTCCAAAACTGCTCGAAGTTGCATGCCTTGTTACAGTATCAGTCAAGAAGCGAGTCGAAAACTTTGAACTCATAAAACTGCTCTCGCACGCTTCAAATCGCCGCAAAAACCGCATTATAACAACGATAAACAGCGTACAAGTATTTTGACTTTATTTTATTAAATAAAGACAGCTCTATGTTCACAAAAGCAACTATATTGTTCCAAGAAATTTGAATATCGTAGAGACCAGTAACCACGCAAACGTAAGCCTGTGAATAAACCAAACGGGAACAAGGATTGCTAATATTGGGAAAGACTGAGACGGATTGGAAACGACGAACTTGA